TTAAGGGCCATCGAGTAGGCGCTGGCTCAGCCACCCTATATAGGATTTCTGAGGAGCGGCTAGTGGGTTTGAACTGCTGACCTTGTGATCCAAACTGACCTTATGGCCCAGTGCTTATCCTACATTGCCATACCAAGGCTCCATGTTGTTGTTAAGTGCTGTCAAGTTGATTCTAACCCATAACGATCCTGTATAGGGTTTCTGAGGAGCAGCTGGTGAGCTTGAAGCGCCAACCTTGCAGTTCAAACGGCTTTGCAGTTAAATTTAAAATTTTTAATTTCATTCTTGGACACGCAGACCCAACTAATCGATTTCTTGACGTCTTCCTTCAGATGCTCCAGACGTCCATAGTGTCCTCTCCTCACACCAGAACATATCCTCCCTGATACTCCGTTTGAGCAACTGATAGTCATGCAGTTTCTCGGGCCAGAAACCTAGATGATCTCTTTCCGCTTTTCTTGTTATGTTTCTCATCCAGTCACATCTTCTAGAATATAGCCCAAGAGAAATATAATCCAAGTTACCAAGGAAATATTGAATTTCCAAGGCCCACATTAAAAACAGTACAAGGAAAAAAGTAAAATTAACCCAATATGTACAAATATCAATGTGCTATCAAAATAAATCATATTTACATTTTTATACTTAGAAATCAGTGTGTATTTTACAATTATATCATGATTCAAATTGACTAGCCATGTCAAGTGGTCAGTACCACATTTAGTGATTACTGTATTGGAGTCTTGGTGTGGCACTGTAGAAGCACTAGACAGCTAACCACAGGTCAGCAGTTTGAACCCACCAGCAGCTCCTTGAAAATCCTATACAGGGTCACCGTGAGTTAGAACCAATGTAACTTTGTTGTTGTTGTTAAGTGCCGTCGAGTCGGTTCCGACCCATAGCGACCCTGTAACAGGGTTTCCGAGGGTGTAAATCCTTACGGGAGTAGAAAGCCTCATCATTCTCCGGCGGAGCGGCTGGTAGTTTTGAACCGCTGACCTTAAGTTTCGCAGCCCGATTCGTAACCACTACGAATGGCACATTATTGGACAGCTCTGCATTCATCCCTCGTATGTATTGATTTCTGTTCCCTTCTCTCCACCCATCCTAAACTAAGAGCGTACTTGTTCTTGGTTCTCCTTATTCTACAGCCTATTATGGAAATGCAAATTTAATCATGTTTATTTCTCTGCTTAGATATCAGTGGCGTCTCAACTACCTTCCAGATGAAGACTAAACTAGTATGTAGTATCTACACATATCCTTCATGCCAACATTCCCTTACAGTCTACATTCTAGCCATACCTTCCTTCCTCTAAGAAATCTTGTTGGTAAGTGCTGTCAAGTCAGTTCCGACATAGCGACCTTCTCTATAGGGTTTCTTGAGTTTGTGGTTCAAACCAACCCAGCAGTCCAGTGCTTATGTTACAGCACCACACCAGATCTCCCTAATGAATCTTATTCAGAACGTTTTCAGTTTCCTCTACCTGGTACAGTTCTCCTTCATTCGATCACATTTCTAAATATAAATGGGCTTTAATAAGTTATTAGAAAAATGATATCTTTTAATTCCACTTTCCACAAAATTTTTGAAGTCCCCTTGGATATATAAAATAGGTGTGATGTCTGCCTTCGGGAAGCTAGCAGGTTGGCTAAGATCTCCTTATATTTCAGGTCTCACCTTCTTGACTTTATTTTTTAATTACCTATATATTCATATCATCTTCCTTGTCACACTGTATTTTAAGCATCTGCTTAGATCTCAAATGAATGTCCGTATATGCTTTAAATTGTACTTTTAACAGAAAACACACACTTTTAACAGTAGTCCTCTGAAAGAAGCCCTAGTAGGGCGGTGGTAAGCACTTAGATGCTAAAATAGGGTTGATGGTTTGGATCCACTAGCTGCCCTGAGGGATAACGATGTGACAGTCTGCATTTGTAAAGATTACATCCTTGGAAACCCTATGGAGCACTTCTACCCTGTCCTATAGTTACTACGAGCTGGTATTGACTCCACAGCCATGTGTTGTTTTTAAATCTCTAAGGGTGAATTTAGAAGAGGCCTTCATTTATCACCATACCTATTTCTGCACTATTTGAATTTTGTATATGCACATTTATATACATTTAATTTCACATTTATATTGTAAAATGATGGCACACATGAATTAGAGAAACATGTTAAAGAATTATTATCCCCAATCCCATTATTCTCCTCAAAAATGTCTAATTTCTTTTTCCAGAGCTAAGTACTATCAATAGTATCATATGTTTCTTTGGGTCCTTTAGTTTTGTATTTAATTATCTGTGTACAGATGCACATATATAACTTAGTTTTATGTAACACACTCAGACTATGTATTACTTTAAAATTGCTTTTATCATCTAAAAGATACTGAAAGCATGCAGATGCAGCATAGAATTCCATAGTAGAGATTGGATCAAGTCAACATTTATATTATTTTTAATGTTCTGTTATTTGATGAATATTGCAACAAATCTCTTGTGCATGCATCTTTGGTACATGGCCTGTAGTTTTAAGATGTTCCTAGAACTAAAACTGCTGATATTAACTTCTCATCAACTTGTAAGAATGTCCATTTATGTGTTCACTAATATTTGTTAACTGCCCTATGCCAGCACTGTTCAAGGCACTTAGAAATAGAGCAGTGAACAAAACAAACACATACTCCTCAGGCCAAATAGAAGGGGGAAAGCAAAACTTTAACTGCTTCCCACACTTCCTCGGTAGCCTTGCTATTTCAATTCCAGTTATTCTGAAATTCCTCTAACTACAGCCAACAATGGTGGTGGTTATGTGCTGTGGAGACGGTTCCGACTCATAGCGACCCTGTACAGGGTTTCTGAGGCTGTAAATCTTTACAGGAGCAGAAAGCCTCATCTTTCTCCCACAGAAAAGCTGGTAGTTTTGAAGTGCTGACCTTAAGGTTCACAGCCAATAATAGGCAGCACTTTTTCCCTATTTTCTTGAGTCTACCTTTCAAATTAAGATTCTTGTGAGAATTATATGAGATAATACATGTACTTACTACATCGTGTCACATTTAATAAGCCTGCCTAGTCCTACACCATCCTCACCATCGCTGCAGCCTCTGTGTCAATCCATCTCACTGAAGGTGTTCCCCTTTGACACCTCTACTTTACCAAGCCTGATACCCTTCTCCAGGGACCCCTGATCACATGTCCAAAGTAAGTAGTCTCACCATCCTCACTTCTACTTCTGAAACAAATTTGTTTGTTGTGGAAGTCCAAATATTCTTTGCCAACACTATATTTTAAATGCATCAGTTCTTCTTTGGTGTTCTTTATTCATTGTCCACCATTTGCATGCATACGAGGCAATTGAAAATACCATGGCTTGGATCAGGTGTACTTCAGTCCTCAAGGTGACATCCTTACTTTTTAAAACTTTAAAGAGGTCTTTTGCAGGTATAGCCAATGTAATACATGGTTTGATTTTATGACTACTGCTTCCATGGAAGTTAATTATGGATCCAAGCAAAATAAAATCCTTGATAAACTTCAAATTTTGAACCACATTTAATTCCAAGGCCTGAACTCTTAATCACAAAACAATTCTGTTTATCAACTTATGTCAACCCATATTGAAACACAATAGTTAAGTTCTAACAAAGCCATCTGGGGGGGGTGGGGGTGGGAGGAACCACAGCTAATTAAGTAGCATTGCTTATTTCAAATTAGTAATTTCCTTTAAACAGGAAAAAATAATTAGTCTAGTGGTTCTTAACCCTAATTGCATAGAAAAATAGGGGGAGGGGAAGCATTGAGACATTTTTAAAAGTTATACTCAAGGCCCACTCAAAACTAAATGAGAATCTCTCAAGAATGGGGCCCAGGCAATGATCTGTGAAGAGTTGTTATTGTTAAGAACTCTAAGTCTAAAATATAAGCAATAACAGTTCAAAGTAATTCAAAACCAAGAGTGATCATATGATAAATGTCTTTCCTCTTATTCTGGGAAAGGAGAGCAAGATAGCATCAACTTCTCATCAGTAAGTCCCTAGATGACACAAATGCTAAAACTTTCAACTACCAATCAAAAGGTTGGTGGTTCAAACGCATCCAGATACACCTCAAAAGACAAGCTTGATGAACTGTTTATGAAAGGTCACAGCCTTTAAAACCCTATAGAGCAGTTCTGCTTTGTAACACCTGGGATTGTTATGAGTCAGAATCGACTCTACTGCAACTAACATTCCCAATTGTTCTTTATCCATTTCTGATTTCCATGAGTTAATAAATGTCAAATATTAGAAGCTATGCAGACATGGACCCAGGCTGAAATTCATATTTTGTTGTTAAGTGCTGTCAAGTCGATTCCAACCCATAGTATAGGGTTTCCAAGGTGCAGCTGGTGAGCTTGAAGCGCTAACCTTGCAGTTCAAATGACTTTGCGGTCTGATGCATTAACTCACAGTGCCACACTTTTAAAACAGTTACCAACTTTCACAAAGAATCCCCCACACTCTAAGTTTGCATTGATGTTTCAGCCTGCTATTTAAGAAGATTTCGAATAAGAAGAGTCAATAAAATGTATTAAGAAAGTATTTTATTGATAACAGTCATTATAAAACAATCTTCACATCCACAAATAATCCTTTAGGTGAAGACAAGAGGAATATTATTTGAGTGTTTCCCACCTAACTGCTAATACTGCCAGAATTCCTTTTTATAAGACTGGATATCTTCAAACTTAGAATGTAAACAACAACAAAAATTTCTTTAAGGATCCATACGTAAAACACTTGCCCTATAACTGTACTGTATCTTTGACAAATCTGTGTTAGGAGGCCAGGAGTGACTGCAGGCATTAGAAGGACTTTTCCTTGTTTTTTCAGGTTCATCAATAACAACACAACAAGTATGAAAAATGACTTTTTTCTTCATAGTACATGAATTCACTTAGAGCTATCTCCTCATATTCAGCAGGAACTACTTCTTCAGCTAGTCCTTTGTCAGGACTCCATGTCAATCTCAACCAGCTCATTCTTGCCCTGAAGCGTGGCTTCTGTCAGCTTATCTTCATTGACATCTTCAATGTCTGCCAGATCAATTGGTGGTAAAGGATTCCTCCAGTATTGAAAGGTATTATACTGCCAAAATTCTTCATTATGCTTTGTGGGAAAGAAGGGAGAGATGAACGTATATTAGTGATTTAGAGAAAGAAACGTTTTTTCAGGAAATACTTCCCATTTTGCAACAACAACAAAAAAAAAGTCAGAAAACAGTCTTAAATTTTGTCACCTTTCAAAGAAGAAATACTAATTCAGTAAACAACAAATACACACACATTTTATATAAGACATAACTAGGCTCTTAAATCAATAAATCAAAATTTGTAAATCTAAATGTGTGCTGACCCCTTAAAAAGTCAGCAACACACTTTAAATGGCTATAACATTATTTCAAATAATTATAAAATTAAATTGATGTTCCAATAAAGTTCAAAATTGGCACAGAATTTGAAAAGCATAACAGAAATACTTTGTGCAAAGGAAGCAGTATTGAATTTATATACCTGTTTCTAAGACAGTCATTTTTAAAGGTAACACCTCGCAGATGGATATACAAGAGGGCTTCAAAAAGTTCATGGAAACATTTCATATCTTTTCATTCCATTTTTCCATGAATTTTTGAAGCCCCCTGGTATGAATGCAATGTGTGTTTGTATATACACACACACCTACAGGGGCTTCAAAGCATTCATGGAAAATTTATCATTATCTTTCTATATAATTTTTCCATAAACTAAAGTAAAAACACAATGTAGCAGAATATATACAAGGAAACTTCAAAAAGTTAGTGTAAAATGGATTGAAAGATAATGGAATTTTCCTGCCTATTAGAAATAAAATAGGAGCCACACAAATATGTAATTTTAAAATTTCTAGTAAGCACAGTTAAAAAGTTAAAAGAAAAAGGTGAAATTAGTCTCAGTAATATATTTTTTCCCAATAGATCCAAAATAGCACAATTTTGATATGCAATCAATAATTTAAATATTAATGAGCTATTTTTTTTATCTTTTTGTCATTCTAAGTCTTTTAAAGCTGGCATGAATTTTACACTTCCAGCAACATTCCAACTAATCATATTCAATTCTCAGTAGGGGCTGAGGTGATTGCTGTTGAGTGCAGTCAAGTAAGTTCTGACTCATAGTGACCCTGTATAGGGTTCCCGGGGAACGCCTGCTGAGTTTGAACCACCGATCTTGTGATTCAAACTAACTTGCAATATAGAGCTTATCGTACAGCACCACACCAGGACACCACAGATTTACTACATAAACTGGAAAAACTTTGTAACTTTTCCATGTTTCACTATATTCTGCTCCCCACTTAACAATTAGTCATAAAATTAAAACAAAATACACTCACATCTCACTTAGTGACATGGTTAGGTTCCAAAGACCAGATCATTATGTGAAAATTAACATTATTTGGAGGCTTCTGGCAAGAAGGCAGTCTACAAAGACATGCTATATAGACTCTCTACAACAAAGATTCAAGACACCAAATGAAACAGATACAAACCATAGTCCTAGAACTCTGAGCATCAGAGAAAAAGACTGAGAAGTGACTGAATACTGACTAGGAGAAGCTGAACAAAAGCTGTAAGAAACATGCATTGTTGGCTGGCCTGACATGATGTATCATTTTAAACTTTTGCAAGCAGCTTTCTTATCAAGGCAGTGGCCTGACACCACAGATGTACACTGGTGGCTGGTGACAAAAACATGCAATTCTTTTGTTTCACACGCAACCCTGGTGAACAGAAGTATGGCCAGTCACCACCCTCACAAATGCCCTGCACAGCTCCTGCTCTGCGGCGGGTAGAGCCATACCATTGTAAATTGGGCACTGGATACACCACCTTATTTGGAGCCACAAGAACTCCAACTCATGAGACCAACAACCAACCATGCAGTCAGTGTTAGATTCCTGTCCACCCTCAGATGAGCAGGAACTCCCTCCATAACTAGTCGCTCTGCCCTCTGGACTAAAAAGTTCCCTTTGGGAACAAGGACTCTGACCTCAGCTACCATCAGAACCAGCACAAACTACTTTCGGATCTGGTACCCTGACCACAGAAAACACCTAGGCCTCCCATCCGCTCACCCCTCCACCCAGTGAGCTCCTGATTTGGCAGAAGGTGCCAACCCATAGAGGGTGCTGCGCCCCCCCTCCCCCCCAGTTTTCTCCTCTCTGGGTCAAGTTCCTGCTCCAGTTTTTTTCTTTCTTTGTTGTTGCTTTTCTTCTTCTCTTTCACTTCCCTTATTTTTAATCTCGCTCTTTTCTTTTATCCCCTCACCCCCCCTGTTTTTTCTCTTGATACTTTTTACTACTTTATTATCTCTTTTCATCTCCCTGTTCTAGTTTTAGTGAGTTTTTATTTTCTCTTTTGTTTTTTTATTGTGCATTTCCTTTTTTCTCTTTTTACTTCTTATGTTCTCTTTTTTTATGCTGCCTGCTTTTTGTTATTTTCTTTTTTGCAGTTGTGTTAGTTTTTTCTTGCCCCATGAGACTAGACAGGAGATAGCAATTGTGTCTGAAAAGCCCAGACACACATGTACTTTCTGCAGCCCCAACCAATGAGTGAGGGCCACTACTGCTCCTACACCAACTGATAAATGATACGACAGCAGCCAGCACCAGCCAAACCTGCCAACAATGAACAGTGAACAGAGAACTGTGCACACACTTTCATTCTCTATAGCACCCACCAGGAAACAGGTGGTGAGTGCCTAAAAATACACCACCATACAGGCACCAATTAAATACAAATACAATGATACCACAATGCCTCAGAGACAACAGGCTATCTCTGAGCATACAAAGAAACAAGACAGAGCAGTTCAAACAAGTGACCAAAATGCAGAGCCAGAAAATGTTTCAAAGGAAGAAGTGGTATTAAAACTACCTTATGAAGAATTTTTTTTAAATGGTATTTAATACCTTCAACAAACTGAAAGAAAGATTGAGAACGTTGCAGAGGAAAGCTAGAACAGAGAAAAATTTTTAGAATTCAGGAATATACTACAACAAACTGCAAAGCAAATTAAAAATTAGAAACCATATAAAAACAGCAAGTAGAAATCCAGAAGATTAATACTAAGATTTCAAAAATAGATAATACACTGAAAGGGCATAGGAGTAGAACTGAATCAAGAGAAGGCTGAATTTGTGAGCTTAAAGACAAATAGCTTTATACTACTTTGCTAGAGGAACGATCAGAAAAAAGGAAAAAGTCTGAAGAAGGCCTAAGAATTATGTAGGACACCATCAAGAGGAAGATTTTATGTGTAACTGTAATTCCTGAACAGGAAGAGGCAAAAAAAAAAAAAAAAAGCCCAAAAACTTACTGAAGAGTTCTTGGAAGAAAACTTCCCTAACATCTTAAAAGATAAAAAGATAGGAATTCAAATGGCTGAACAAATTCCAAAGAGGTTAGACCTCAAAAGAAAATCACCAAGGCATATAACCAAACTTCCCAAAACCAAAGACAGGGAAACTATTCTGAAAGCAGCTCAGGGACAATGAGAAGCTACCCTCAAAGGAGAACCAATAAGACTAAGCTCTGATTTATCAGCAGAAACCATACAGACAAGAAGGCAATGGGATGATTTATATGAAACACTAAAAGACAAAAACTGCCAACCAAGAATCACATATCTAGCAAAGTTACCCTTTGAATATGATCGCTATATTAGGGCACTTCCAAAAGAACAGATATTTAAGAATTTTTAAACATCAGATCACCTTTACAAAAAATACTAAAGGGAGTTCTTTGGACAGAGAACAGCATCAGACAACAACCTCTTAATATATATGATAACACTACCCAGAATACTCCAGATGGAGAAGCATTAAAAGTAAAACAAACCTACTACAACACTGAAAACAGGGTACCAGAGATATTAAATTTTAGTGAAGACAATTACGAAGTAAAAAAGAGGGAACTGTGAAGTTACTGACCTTTCAAATGGTGAGGAAATCAAGTGGATTTCAAGATAAAATAGACAGTCTCAAACTTGGAAATAAATAAATAATAGGGTAACCTCAGGAGTCCTGGTGTTGTTACAGGATAAACATTACACCACAAGGTCAACTTGAATTGAAAGGTCGGTGGTTCAAACCCACCAGCCACTCCCCAGAAACCCCATACAGAGTCATTACAAGTTGGAACCAACTCAATAGTACATTAACAATAGGGAAAACTCAAAGGTAATTACTAAACCTTTTCTAAGTAAAAATGAGAATAATCATATAGATTTAGTAAATAACACAATAAACAGTAATGAAGACAGTAATATGCAGACCTGCAAATAAAATGAAATCAGTATAGAAAATTATTTGGAACAAAACCAGACTGGTGTTGTTAGGTGCCATCGAGTCGGTACCGACTCTTAGCGACCCTATGTACAACAGAACGAAACACTGCCCGATTCTGGGCCAACCTTACAATTATTGCCATGCTTGAGCCACTGATGCTGCCACTTTGCCAACCCATCTCGCAGGGGATCTTCCTCTTTTTCTCTGACCCTCCACCTTACCAAACATGATATCCTTCTCCAGCGATTGCTCCCTCCTGACAGTATGTCCAATGTATGAGAGATGAAGTTTGGCCATCCTGGCCTCCAAGGAGCATTCTGACTGCACTTCTTCCAACACAGATGTTAGTTCTTTTGGCAGCCCATGGCATTTTCAATATTCTCCTCCAACACCATGACTCAAAAGCATCAATTCCTCTACCGTCTTCCTTATTCACTGTCCAGCTTTCGCATGCATATGAGGTTACTGAAAATACCATAGCTTGGTTCAGACATACCTTAGTCCTCAAGCTGACACCTTTGCTCTTCAACACTTTAAAAAGGTCTTGTGCAGCAGATTTGCCTAATGTTTGATTTCTTGACTGCTGCTTCCAAGAGTGTTGATAGTTGATCTAAGAAGAATGAAGTCCTTGACAACTTCAGTCTTTTCTCCAATGATAAGAATGTTGTTTATTGGTCTAGTGGTGAGGATTTTTGTTTTCTTTACATTGAGATGCAATCCATACCGAAGGCTGTGGTCTTTGATCTTCATCAGTAAGTATTTTAAGTCCTCTTCACTTTCAG